GAGAGAGTTGTCTGCATAAGTAAACATGGCTGCCTTATAAATATAAATTGCAGTCAATGGAGGTGGAATTCCTTTGCACTCACTCACCCAGCCACTAGTCCTCTTGGCTTCACTTTGAACACACCCGTAGCAGGTGCTTCCACTTGAACTAAGTGTGCAGTTGTGTTTTAGTCTGTGACTTTCAGGTTAAGTATAATTCTGCCAAAACCAAAAACCAACCAACCAAACAAACAAAAAAGCCTGAGAAGATTTGAGGAGACCTGGGTTTGGGGCTCAGTGACAGTCACCAGCAAGAAGCCGACTGAAGGTTGCCTGTTGCGCCTCACCTTCAGGCAGCAACCGGCCACTGGCTGGAAACAGCACTGCATCTGCCAGCATCCAGTCAAGTCATTGACTCAAGAACATCAGAGCATCATTGCTGGGGTAAGACGTTGCTCTCTGTTAAACAGGGTCTTGGATGTTTCTGTAGCACAATCTTATTATAGGCCCATTATTTATAGGACATAAGCTGTATATCTGACATATATATGTGTGTGTGTCTATAGTTTTCTTACTAGTCCTGAACAGGTCGTGTAACCTAATTAGTGAAGTCCAGAGATTTTGACTCTGTTAAAAAGCAACAGTTATTAAAGGGAAAGGTTTAATTATTAAATACATTCCCTGTTCATAATATGAAAGTTAAGAGTAAAAATATTAAAAAAGAAACATTCAAACATTCCTGAACCAACTGCAGGTTAGATTAAGCAAATAAATAAATACCCAGTCAAATATAAAAGGAAAAAAGAGACTGAGACCTGTTCTTCTTCTTTCATAAATCTCATGCAAATCTGAAAGTTTCCATTCAGAAAGGAAATATGCAAAATGTGGTCAGATAAAATGCTGTTGTCAGTTAGATGCCATAAACCACAGCAATAGACTGACTTTGAAACAAACACAAAAAACCCAACAGATTTCTTTCTGCTGTCACTGCGGGATGAGACGGGGGATTTCACTGTGGTTTTACTCAAAGGTGGAAATCAAATACGACTGCAACTACCTGAGACAGAGAGAAGAGAAATTCCAAAGAGGAATAACAGAAGGATTGTCTGCTCTGTTTCTTCCAAGGGTACAGGTGCATTTATATTCCTTTTCATGCCAAGCTAATCGATTATTTCTCAGAGGCCTTGTGACCTTGTTAGTATAGAAATGTATGAAATTATTTTTGTCTCTGTTTAAAGCCACAGTTTAAATGTAGAATCTATATAAATCTTAACATCTCTTTTTAACTCATGGCACAGATAACAAGATAGCACAGATAATCACACGTAATAACATTGTACAAACAGTGGGGTAAGAAAAACAGAAAAGACCTTTCTATTCCCCCCCAAAAATTTGCTATTCTCCCTTTATCAAAATATATAAACCACATCTCCTGATAATTTCATGCAATACTTGGTTACTTGATTCAGGAGGTTTGGTGTGAAATACTGGGGCAGGTTTTTACACAATCAAATAGTAGTTCTTTCCTGGTTGTCGGTCTGAAGTCAAAAGTGTTTTTAAAGCTTTGAAACAGATATCATATCATATAAACACAGAAATAATGGCACACAATTTCATAGCTTTGCAATCAGTACACGTGAAAGGTAACAGTGATGATTGTGTAAAGAGTGAACAAACCCTAGCTCCTTTTTCACTTCCATTGAGGAGGGTGAGACTTGACTTCTCATGAGCAATCTGCTGCCTCTGATCGCTCGGGAGACTGAAAATGATCCGGGATTCTCTTCTAAAGAAGCACGCTGACAGTTTGCTGACAGCTATTTCAGATTTGCAATAAGTTTCAAACCCACACAAGTTTAAAAATTACATTAAATAAACAAAAAGTAAAAGATTCATGTTCCCATGAACTGGTCATATGCAAATATGAACTAGTTGCATCTAGAAAAAACAAGTTGGTGGTTCAACCAAATCCTCTACATATGCCCTGTTATACATAGAGATTTGTTCCTTGTTCCTTCTTACATGTTTTTCTCTTCAGTGGCTTCACAGCCCATTTCCCTCAGACTTGCAGGATTTCAGTTATGTTGGGTCAAGTGCGAAATTGTCCGATAGATTCTGTATTTTTTTCTTTGTTTGTTTTGTTTTGAATTTTTATTTCTAGCATTTAAAGGTTAACCAGAGTGCCTGTTTGCCAGTGTGTGCTATGATCTGATAAAGTTATGAGTTGTGAATTGTGTCTCAAATAACATATATCATCACACTTTGTAAGGCAGCTGATGAAAAGGGTCATCCTTGTGTTTAAAATTTAAAAAACTGTTGTTTTTTTTGCTTGTTTGGGTTTTTTTTTTTTCTTTAATCTTGTGATGATTTACAATTTAAACCCAGCGCTCAAGAAAACGCCCGAGGCCACGTAACGGCTGCCCTTATATCTGTCTTTGCTAGAACAGTGACAGGTTTATTTTTTTTTATCCCATTTTCAAGTTTTCCAATCTTTAGGTCCAACCCCAATTAAATGAGGTTTATTACCAGCATAATTAGCTCTAAGTAGACTCTTTGTCAAGATTAATTTAGACCAACATCAAAGCCATTTTCCTTTGATATTGGCTTAATGCCTGCACACCTGACTAACAGCAGATATGAATCACCATACATCCCCTAGCAGTGTTGGTGGTTGGAAAAATTTGTTAAAAACAGAGTTTAATGGGATCAGTATTATAAGGCAATGTAAGTACAAGCACGCGAAATAAACCTTTATTTCATTTCATAAAATAAGCACATAAACTGAAGCTAATTTATAACGTGAACAGAGCACCTGCACATGTCACTGCTGCAATAAAAAATCCCCTAAGGGAGCAATCTGCAGATCTAAATCTCCTCTTCCAACCAGCAGGCGTTTCTTTCAGAGCAACAGTCATATTAAGTAAGAAGAAGATGAAATTCCTTCCGTTTTTCTCTGAACAATGACTTCATGAGCAGGACCAAATTTCCCATGAGGAACAGGGGGAAAAAAAAAAGGGGGGGGGGGGTGTCACATGGCAAACAGTCACTCTTGGCTGTATACGCTTCTTTAATACCAGACTGAAACGCTACCAGCATAACACTCAGTGTGTTTTGATTATGCCTTGATAGATGGCATCAGATCTAATCGCTGACCTTTTCTCTTTTTTTGGTGCTTGAATGGATTCATCCAAGTTAAACAAGACCGGACATTTAGAGTTGTTTTAATCACTACTCATTAACTATAAATTAAACACTTACCTGTCTTCTTTCACAAAACTGTTCAACAATGCTGAATTGGCTCGCAGGTTAATATTTAGCTAGATTGGCTCCACTGGTTTGGAAATTTCACCACTTTCATTTTAGGAAAAGAATTTTTCCACATAAAAATAGGGCAATTTGGATAAAAAAAACAAAAATCTCTTTGCGCAGCTATAACCATACAAAACTTAAGACAGTGATACAAACTTCACCTCACATAATCATCGTATTTATGTTAAATAAGACCAAGCAGGTGGAAAAAATATGGTTCCCAGGGAGGGCGCCAGCATGGATGGAGTCCCATTCCTTCTGATTCCAAGGCTGACTTTGCTGAGTAAATGGAGCAAACTAATGCTCCTGAAATGAATATCAGCGTCTTGACCAAACTCATTTAGAGATCAGTCAGGGCCTTAATCCCTCTCTGCAGGGGTGGGTGTTTGTGTCTTTCTCTGGTGTCCCCGCTTCCTTTTGGAAGAAGGTAATATGGCTAAATTTGCTTTGCTAATGGGCTTAGCGCAAGCTGTTACAGAGCAGAGTTGACACACAGCAGCAGGCTTGGATACCAGTGGCTTTTAATCTGACAGACTGATGGAGTAAAAGGCATTGTGGGTGATATTTACGAGAAGTTTAGAGATAAAAGGAAGACTGTGGAGGCTATTTATCAATGGCATGCTGAGGTCCAAGAGCTAGAAGGGGGTTTTGTTTTCTTTTTGCAGTTGAAATTTCATTTAGTTGTGTTTGGCAATAGTGGAAATACAGTTTTAGCTTGTTCTGATTTTACGTTTCTTTTTAGGTGAATATAGCCACGCAATCCAGGTTTTCCTATTGCAGGCTGATGCGCCTGACCTCAATAGGAGACCTGTTCATACAGCAGCTTCAGGTAGTGTGTAATCTGAAATCCCACATAACAGACAATAATTCTCCACTGAGTTGGTTTATTTTGATAATGGAAGGAGAGAATAGTTTCTGAGCTCGTATTGTGTGTGTGTGGTGATAAAATGACGACAGGTTAAACTGGGAAAACCTTACACGGAACAACAAAAATCTATTTAAAATAAGAGAACTGATAATGCCAAGTAAAAGCATTTTAACAAGAACAAGAGCAGGAAAAAAATCAAAGGTACAAACAGCATAAACAACAAAACAGAAAAGACCGCGGTCAGTGCAGCACAGCTGAGAAATTCACGTTTGTTAAAGCTTTGCAAACTAATGGATTCTTTTTCTTTCGAGAGCTCTCATGTCTTTGTGGTTTATTTCAAAGTTACCCTTATTGTTGGTTTTGACTCGGTGGATGCCATATATCACTTTTGCAAATTTTACGAGACTTTAATTGTTTGCACTTTGACAATTTACATGGTGACTCTCCTTGAACATGTACTCTGTGGGAGTTTACTTCCTTTACTGTGGCATCAGCCACAGCTGCTGATAACCTGCTGCTATGTCCTCCCATTTACCAGCTGTGGCAGGTAAGCATTATGGGTGTCATAATCAAGATTACACTTGTGCTACAGCTTACAAACCTTCATAGGTGTACACTTTTAAAGGCCACCTCCTATTAAAGGGCTGTTTTCATAAAGCCTGCTCTTCATAAAACAGACATTTTGGCTGGGCAGATTTTATGCACGCTCTTCTCTCCACATTATCTAACTTCGATTTGATTAAAATCTCCAGCTGACAGTGGAGACAGAGGGCTGCAGAGACGGCACCTTGAAAGCCCGGGCAGACAGCAGAGCTGTTTCGGGTCTCAATACAAGTCACCTACCCCCATGAAACGAATCATTCTGGGCCAGTGACCCTCAAATAAGACTCAGTCAGATCCATTTTGCCCCACGCCTGTCAGCGCTGTGTGTGTTTTAACTGTTTTGAGGGTCAGTATCTCCATTAGACTTATAGAGCTTCTTATAGAGCCTACACCAGCACAGTCTAACCTCGGTTCTCTGCACATTCATGCACAACTCTGATGGAGATCATTGCAAAACTAAAGCAGCTGTCATTTTAGTATCTTGAGAAACAAAGGAGAGGAACTGTTTGAAAAGGTAACCATGACTTAAATCGTGATTTTTTTTTGCATATTTTTTTGATTAAATTACTTAAAATGAACTAATGTCTGCTGCAGATTTAAGTGGCATGCACACCTGTTACCATGGGCTTATGTGACAGAGAGATCTTTCAGATTTTATGCTGCGCCGAATAGTTACAAACTTTTAAATCACGTCTCACTTCATTTGCAGTTCACAGCATAGAAGTTTAATGTGGCTTTTTGTGTTTCTTTTTCTCTCTCTCTCTCAGGACCAGTTATGTCAAACCCAGTGGGCAGCGTACCAGAAACCACATCGTATGGGTCTCGGATTGGGATGACAGAGGACTCCCTCTCCATCCTGGAGCAAAGCAGAGGCTGCGAAGACCCCTGGGAGATGGGGGAAACCAAACCAAATGTGGAAGCCCTGGAGCGGGGCATGCCAGGCGTCTACCTCTCCTGCTTTGACATGCTCCTCACAGAAGATGCTACTTGGCTGGTGAAAGTTTCAGAGGCCTCTTCAGCACTGGCTTTACCCATGAACCGCGTAGAACCCCGGGAGGAACCGGAGCAGTGCCCGGTCATTGATAGCCAGGAACAGGGGATCTCTCCTGGCCTGGAGGGGCAGGAGGAGGAGCGATCCCTGGAGCAAGTGCAGAGCATGGTTGTGGGAGAAGTACTGAAGGACATTGAAACAGCCTGCAAACTGCTCAACATCACCCCAGGTAGGCTGCTTTCCAGCACACCTGCAGCTGTGGCGAGTGTATTACAGCGTATAACTGACAAAGAAACTGACCTTAAACAAAACATATTTCATCTCCCCCAAAATGCTGAAGTGTTTCTCTGTATTTGCAAATATAGAAGTATTGATTCAGATACTTAAGCTACTGGATCTGACTCGCAAAATCAACACATATTTGTGTGGACACAAGATGACAGAACTCCTAAATCATATCCTTACTGACGCAAAGCTGTGTTTGCCTGCTCCAGGATCTGTTTAATCCTGACCTTTGCAAAGGTACTCCTGGATTGTAATAGTGATGGTTCTTGCCTGCCAGTAGACGTGTACACAGTCTTAAGGGCGAGGCCTCTCCTGCTCATAAAGCAAACAGAGGAAGCGTTTTTCATGTATTGTATGGCTTCTAACTGTTATAAACCTATGCAATCCCCAATCGTCTGTTCTACTGATTAAAACTGTTGTGGCATAAAAGCTTGATTATCTTGTGGTTTCAGCAGATTTATTATGAGTCAAAGGCAAACAAAATACAGACAGGGTAAAGGTGAAAACAATATTGATATATAAATGACTTATCTTGATCCATATGACATTAGTGTCACTAAAGAAATGGTCCAAGATAAGGTCATTTATTGCATTGGCAGCTGGAAGTTTTCTCACTGATTTCATATCTATTTCCGCCTGCAGATCCGATAGAGTGGAACACTGGGAATGTCCAGAAGTGGCTGCTCTGGACTGAACATCTCTACAGATTGCCCCATGCGGGAAAGGCCTTCCAGGAGCTGACGGGAAAGGATCTGTGCGCCATGAGCGAGGAGGAGTTTCGCCAGCGTTCCCCGCAGTGTGGAGACACGCTGCACGCACACCTGGACATATGGAAGTCAGGTAATATTTATTTAACACGTTCAACATGTGCAACCTGCTGCACCCCCTGTGATGATTTTATTGTCGGATATTTGGCTGCTGTGAACTTTTGAGCGGGTGCAAATTTTATTACTGCGTTCATGTGTGTTTGGGTGGGATTATTTGAAGTTCTAGCCTTTTCTTAGCTTGAACTTCTGCATCTGTTTACTTTCCAGCTGCATGGATGAAAGAACGGTTTTCCATTGGAGACACTAAAACTACAGGTAAGATTCTTATGTTTGCATTAGCTGTCATGCAAGTTGCATTCACACAAAAAATCCAACGCACAGTATAATTTTAACACTGTATTTTACATAGACGCCAATAACTATATGCTGCAGAATTTCAGTGAAAAATCAGGCTTTTGCATTGTGTATTTTAAAAGTCCTGATTAAAGGGCTCCTTGATCTTTTGGTCCCTCACGGTACAGAGCTTTTTCATTGAAACAATGCACAACGACCCTAAGGACTGAATGGTTTTGTTTTGCTGTGCAGGCAGTGAGGAGCTTTGGTCTGAGGCAGATTCATCTTGCTCAGGTCAACCTATTCATCTGTGGCAGTTTCTCAGAGAGCTCCTGCTCAAACCCCACAACTATGGACGTTGCATTCGCTGGCTCAATAAAGAAAAGGGTACTTTCATTTTCATTTCAGTTATTCTTTATTTGCTCTATTTAGTCCTTGAACACATGAATAAAACTTAATTTAACTTGTGTTTTTAAATAAAAGCATAAAAATGTGTATGACATCGTGCTATTACAATTTAAGTGCTTTCTTCTTTTATTCTTCAGCTTAAAACAAAATTATTATTTTTTTACATTTCAATTTTTGCTGCAACTGCTTTTATCTCTTATTAGTTCATCTACTGTTTTATGGGCTCATCATACTGCTTTGAAGCTCCAAAATCTTGACACATTAATTTTAAAAAATCAAAAAACAAACAGGAAAGTTTGAATGAGAGTAAAGTTTTTCAATAAATTTGCATTATTACAATTTAAAAGTAATAATTGTAGGACAACACTATATAAAGGGGCCATGTGTGTGCAAAATTAGTAAATAGAACAAATATAGTTATTTCATTCACTGTTCTTATTTTAAATCAGAACCTAAGAGTGTGCAGGCCTCCCTCCTTTTTTTCACAACCTGTAGTGCAATGGTACAAATTGGTACAAACACTACACAATAAAAATCAGCCACACACAATAAGAATACACCATTAAAACGTATTTAAAGTGAAACCGCAATGGAATGAATGCCGGATGTATGTCAGGGTTTCGCTGACATTGGGTTTGTTGATGCCTGAAAGGCAAAAAGCATCCCAAATGAAATATGAGTCCAAGTGGCGGACTTTTTATGTGTGCACATAAAGTGTAATCATCCACTGTTTTGCACGTGTTGTGTGGTAATAACTGCTTTTGATTCCCACCAGGTATTTTCAAAATCGAAGACTCTGCTCACGTGGCGAGACTGTGGGGACAACGAAAGAATCGACCTGCAATGAACTACGACAAGCTGAGCCGTTCCATACGTCAGTACTACAAGAAAGGCATCATCCGCAAGCCCGACGTGTCTCAGAGACTGGTCTACCAGTTTGTTCACCCAGTATGAGACTGCAAGCAAAGTGGGAGGAGAAGACAGAGGACGATGAGATGGGAACTCGGAAAATTACAAAGACAAATTGTGTCACCATGCACCTGAACACCTAATTCCTGAGACGAAAAGGTGACATGGAACATGTGCACTGAATTACCCCGATGGTACACACCTGACTGCCAACACTGAAGTAACAGCTGGCAGCTGCTGCAGTCTTAACTGTGCAAAGCCAGCCAGGAAGAGACAAAAACAGTGTAGCTGTTGAGGCTTTTTCCTGCTGCAAAATTAAAAAGAGAACAGAATAAAAAAACAAAGACAAAGCAAAACAGAAAAACAGTACATGAACTGCCTTATTATTTGCATGATCTGCCTGTTTATGTTTCCCTATTGTGATTTCCAAATATCTTGAGCTCAAATCAAAGCGTTACAACTGATGGCTCTTCGGTAAAAGCGTCTACAGCTGCACTGGCTTTGTCTGAACAGGAAACTCTTCTTATCTCATCTTGAAGCACCTGAGAAATGGACTTCCTCTTTTTAGGAATTGCCTCAAATCCTGCTGTGGAAGTGTAATAGGGACCCTTGTATATATGTTTGTTTTCTAATGTATAACTTCTAAAGTGTGATGCATTCCTCTTTGAATACCTTTATATAGTTTACCCTGCCTGGTCCATTTACACAGCCGTATACTGCAATTAATGCTGTGAGTCTTTGAAACCCAAAGTTTTCAAAATTTAATAAACCAAAAAGACTTGAAATGAATAATCATATACAAATGGAGACAAAATATGCAATAAAAATAAAGTTTTACCTGAGAATTGACGTGACATGTTGCACAAATTCATCATTCCTGGAATATGAAATGATTTTTTTCAGTCATTGCACTGGTTGGCAACTTGAAACACGGGATAAATTATTAAAACTCTTTTTTTCCCATTCTGTTTTATTAGTTGTTTATGCAACTTTGGATGGCAGAGGGCTGGAGCTCCCAGCTGTCATAGGATCAGAGAACACCCTGGACAGGTTGCCAGTCTGTCACCAACTAGTCATACTCATTCACACCTGCAGCCAAGTTAGGATCACCAGTTAACTCAGTAGTATATCCTCAAACACAGAGCCTCTTTAGCTGGGACCTAGACTAGCAGGGCAAAAATATGAAGTGAAAAATAAGCTGAATTAACATTTTGCTGGTTCTATTATGATAACCCATGATGCACTTTTAATAAGTTGGGTTTTTTTTACTTATAAAGTTAGGCAAGTACAGGGCGAACATGCAAATGAAACACAGAGAGGGCCCAGGCAACCACTAGAAACCGCTGCGAGTCACGGGTTAACTTTTGTTTTTAAATGCTCAATTGTCAAACGATGTCACGATCTCAGTGTCAACTTACTGCTGCACCTGTTAAACAATCAAAAAAGTCAAGATAAAAAAATAATTCAACTGCACCATGACAACAAAATTGTAGGTAAACTTTTGAAATGAAAATTTCAAAAGTTTAGCATGTCATTCTTGCCATAAAGTCTGGACACAGAGTTTAATAATCTCACATAATCTCACTGGAGTTTTAGTAGCAGTTTGTTCTGTTGTTGCGGACGGCAGCAGGGTGAAAAGATTGTGGCTGTGGCGAATATTTCTTTATAGGGTCCATTGGGATCTGCACAAAAACCTAACCTTCAAAACGGCCCTGGGAAGCCGATCTCTACAAACTAATGTGGCACAAAGAATACATTTGTGAAGGACAAGATGCGGCTTGAGCTAAAGCTGCGCATGGTCCCAAAGTATTGATGCAGCTGTTTTTTGTTTTTCTTGTATTCTTACACCACTCTCTCCCCTTTTATGTCCCAATAACTGTAAAAACAGTTAACTGCTCTTCCACAGATTGGCAGTGTTTTGAGCCAAAGGTGCCTTGTGACTCACATGTTGACTTTGCAAACAGGAGCAAATTAAACTAGAGCCAAGAGAGAAAAACAAAATGTGCAATACAATAGGACACCGGGTCAACCTGCTCATGCCAGATGCTTTCTGTTGCTCCTGAGGGAACAAGAATGTAGCACATGAACTTAGCCTTCCTTAGAGCACTTAAAAAAACAATGTGTAATTTTTCTGAGTTTTCTTTACCAGAACATAGATGTGTGATGACTGGCCAAATGGTTGATAAAAACCAAGGCTAGGCCCATGGCAGCAGATATGGTGCAGGCCTGCTTTTGTTTAATCTACAAATGAATTTGCCAGGCATTACATTTACACAGCTCTCGTGGTTTCCACCAGCAACAATCACTAATTGGGAAACACCTGCTAATGAGCCTCACTTTGCTTGTATCATGTTTCCTTTTTTCACAAAAGCGATGTAAAAATGTCTTATATTATAAACTATAATGAAAGCTGTCACCAACACCAGACATAAATAATTAATTTACACTTACGTAAAACACTAGTAGAACACTAAAAAGGCCAAGCAACTCCCCCATACGATTTCATACTTGGTCTCTGCCAGAACCTTTCAATGATGTTCAAACCCCCAGAGACACAATGTCCATATGTCATAACACAGATGATTCATTTTGCACACATAACCTATGCAAATGTGCTTACATGTGGTGACCAATGACATTCCTGTTGCCAATATTGTCTCTTTAACTCACAGGCTCTGCTTACAGAGAGTAGCTGCTTGAGTGCCTGAATGTGAACATCACACACACATATTATTAGATATAGCCAATAAATATTTAATAGGTCTCATTTGCAAGTTTATTAGTCTTAATGTTTTTCTGAAAGTGCAATATCGCCTAAATAAGAAGCAGTAATGAAATACCGTTTATTTACAGGCAGCTTCTGTATTAGTCATCAGCTTTGGTAGGCCTTTACCCAGTAAGCATATCCTTGATTATCCTCCTCACTGACTCTGAGAATGATCGGGCATTGCAAGATAAATTTCATATTTTATTCAGCAGGATGTGAAACTAGTGACTGAACCCAGAATGTTATGAGATAAGGTTTTGTTTTTTTTGTTTTTTTTTTATTAAGGTCAACCAAAGAACTCGCCCTTTGCTGACTTCACTTTTCAGACTTGAATTTGATTTGATTTCTTTTTCATTCAGTGGGAGGGGATACAAATCCCTGGGTGGCTGGGGGAGGGGTGGGGGGTTGCATCAGGAACCGTGTCAAAATCTACCAAATCAAATATTTGGAGCTACATACCACGATGACCCCTTGTGACTCGATGAGCAGCCGAAAGCAATTTTTTACTGTAGAAAAAAGAACAAATTGTTTTGAAACGGCCTTACAAACACTCCCAAATTGATTGACAGCAACGATATCTGCTCTGACATCATTCTTGATGTCTCTCCTCCTCTGCGTTGTGTTAGCACACACATACCTGTAAACTCTCTAGAGGGCACACATCACATCTGTCTGATACAAATTCACAGG